GCTATGCACGAAAATAGTTGCCGCCAAACTGTCAATTAACTTTCGTAACTAGTAATTTAGCCCCCTGACGTGCCACCATTCTTGAGTGTCTAACAAATTGGTTGGAAAAATTGTGGCCCCCGAGGGCCCATAAATCGCGACAACCCTCAGAGTGAGCATCATCATCGTGATCAGAGCCTTCAGTTACCCCCACCGATTGAGTTTTAAAAATGTTCCTTGCTCTCAGGACTTGGTAAGTGTAAGCCGGTGCAGAAAACTCCAACAACCAGGCGGACACTACCCTCATTATCCTTTTTTTATGTGAAGATCTGCCCTGATTTGACTAAAACTTTATCACTGGGAGGATGTTGACCTACACAAGAAAATCACCCTCGCGTGGCGCAAAAACGCTTGCACGTGCACTGGAAGAGGTGAAGTGACCGCAAGCGTACGATAAAAGCGAACTGTGCAAAGAGAATCAAAAATCAAGCTATCGTCAAGCAGTAGAGGAAGATTCATGGCAAGCTGGCACATAATGACAACTTATCGGCGAAGCAAAGAAAAACGTGCTGACGAATTTGATCACCCGGTTGTCCGATTTGGCCGATACTGCAAATCATCAGCTTCTGTCGTTAACCTATCCACCACATGTGACAAAAAAGGCCATCACTGTTCTGATCACATCTTCATGCAGTAGATATGAGGGGCAGGTTTAATGACCGCTCTAAGGCGTATCAGTAGGCATTCATTTCATTGCAAACAATCCTTCGATCTACCATCCTTCCACCCATCCACGACGCATCTTTGATATCCACCTGGATCGTTTTTCGATAAACAATGAGAAAGAAATCCATAAAGAGAAAGAAAAAGAGTAAAACATTCACAAACCTTATATAAAAGTACTCTCAGGCCTAAGCTACCTCGAAAATAGGCGAATCATTTTAGAAACATCACATTCGATGTCGACTACATGTGCTACAGCAGGGATTTTATTGCACAAAAATTCATCCTTCCACAAGGAGGCAAGACTCCTTCTATTCCACTGAGCGTTTTTCTGCAGAATGGTCTAACATTTTTAGAATTCCTCTTGTTATGTGGGTATAGAAGCTCGGAAGAAGGAATGGTGTGCCGTGTTGTTCCTTACTATCCTTATGAAGAATCAGTTCCACCAATAAAAGAATTTCTCGTAGATACGCAAAGAATTATTATTTATCTTACGGGTGGTAAGTCAAGTTGACATGCGCACGTAATTGTCTCAAATTTGAATGTACTACTATAAGCATTTTGAGGAACACGTAGATTATTGAATTTAGAAGATCTTGACGGCCAGATGTCATGGGACCAATCGGGAAAAATTTGCTGACGCGATGACGTTTGTTCAGATGTTCGGCTTCACACCGGTGGCCATCCATTTGTCTTCGGCTCTGTGATGACATTCCTTCTGTACAGAGACAATCCCATGTCTATGCTCCACTACATAAACTATACACTACAAATCGACATAGGCAACGCATTACTGGACAACGAACGGTACATCACACCAAGTCAGGCAAAATTTACTTACTAATTACTTACACTATTTTGATGATAATAACATTCATAGTGTTGCTTCATAAGGGCGATGGAGCAATTTTACTTATATTACTAGGAAAAAATTAGGCTCACCCATCTCATACCTTAAAGGCAAAGTTCGGGCTCAGACCCACTTAATGAGCCTTTACGGTGGCTAGAAGCGCTAGGTACGCAAGTGTAGAGGTCGCGTCACTTCCCTACTTCGAAAAGCGTTATTTAGACGCTAGGCGCTAAGAACTTTGACACGCTCCACCTGTTGCGACACGCTCCGCCCACCGCTCGATATCTTGTCTGCGTCGCTTTGATCTGCTATGCTCTCTCTACTCGGACTTCTCTAGCGCTCTCCGCGCTCACATTATCTCTCATCTCCCTGCCGGCCTTTTGAACTTCTCCGCAGCGTAGAGCAAAATGCTCGTGTTTTTTTTCCTTTTTCTCCACTGGCGGTCCACCTCCTACCCCTACTTTCACATTTGAGTGGAATTACCTCATCAATTTCAATCCTGAATCTTGCCTTTAAGGCGGACTTACGATGAAGCGGCAGCTCATTGCAATCAAGGCGCAGATGGTCAGTCGCGCGACGAAAAAAAGCATGAGATATAGCCCAAAACTCGAGGAATATGACCCCTTCTTTGCCCGTTGATTTCTGCATTGGTGCGACTCTCTCGGCTCTCCCCACTTCAACACAAACGCTCTGTTAAAGGCAGCGATTACGATAAAGAGGGAGCGCATCGGGGAAGCATATGCACCACACGAAGCAGTTACTTGGCTGCCAGGGAAGCGAGGTGTAGCGCTTTCACAACGAAAGGTGCGCTGGTTGCTGAGCAGGACTTCGAAAGCACTCCGCCCTCGGCTTTCATGAGCAAAGGCGGTGTGAAAATAACACGTGTAGCGTAAGTGAACGTAAATCAGACTCAAGTTACATCTTCACAAAACCCTACACGTCGCCCAACTCACAACGTACTTCGCACCATGAGCCCCTTCTGGGTCCGCCTAAGGTGCCAGCACTTCCCGGGAGTTAGGTCTTTCCTCTCGGAAACTCATTTTTCCCAGAACTTTGCACATGGTCATACATAACCACATACAGCATGCCTATATGGTAGAAAAGGAACAGTTTTTCCATGCACCAATCCTTTAAGACACAATTATATACATGCAGACTGATTCCACTCTGAGAAAAAGTCCGGGTTTGAAACTGTTCCGCTAGTAGATCAAATGAGGGCTGGCTTCAAACTTAGTGGCTTTCCTATATCCGCTGTATGTTTTAGGACATGCACGAATGAGAACGTTCACACTGCCCCAAAACCGTGACTGGATACCATGGCTCAACTCTATTCCTAATCTTTTCAACACAGGAGAGTTCGTTCTACTCTGGGAAGAGGTACGTGTTTCAATCTATGCAAACGCCATGGGAGTGAAGCGAATAAACAATGTTACTCCAGCCTAGGAAGAACTTTTCAAGAAGACGCAGAGGAAGAACCAGAGTATTCCTGCTTGATCTCAAAACAGTCCATATGCATGTGATTCACACCTCTTTACTCAAGTAGGCCTTTCATTAATCTGAGGAAGAAAAATAGCTTCGTTCAAATTATTTTCTACAAATCATTGATTAACCATTATTTCCGAAACATTAAATGTAAAATAACCTGAAGTTACAGAGTAAGAGGTACTTTGTAAGGATTCCTGGATGTATCGATACAGTCTTGAACGCTGATTACAAATATGGACACTAAAACTGCTACGTGAACTTTCCAAGAAAGTTATGAGCCTTCAAAGTTGGCAAAAAACGTCACTGAGGTGAGCTTACCTGGTGGGATCACAGTGTTGGCTTTGCTCTGCGCCAAAAACTGGTCCCATATTCGTGATCAGAGCACCAGTTCGTACAACACGTTCCAGGCAAAAAGCAAGCGTATTTTCACAGAAGTTGCACGTCATCATTAGTGTTCTCTTGCAACTTTTAAAGGACGAATTCACGATGAAAAAGCAACCCATTTCAAATTAACTAGGGATGGTGAGTGGTACACGAAAGAAGGAAGAACCATGAGAAACGGCCCAGAACCCGAGAAATGGGACCCCTTCCTTGCCCGTTGATTTGAGCATTGATGCGACTCTCATCGCTGTGCCCTCTTCAACTGCTATCTAATCACTCGCCACGTATAGACCTGCGGCGAGTGATCAGATGATCGGTGGGCGTGCACTGGCCCACCGCGCCAAGATTGAGCCTTAATAGGTCGCCGAGGTCAACTCCTTCGGTGCCAATTGCGCTTCAGTCCGCAGGTCCCTCAACTAGGTGAATTACTCCTTCTTCGACCTTCATTCTAATCGTGAATTCGTCCTCAGGCTCACAAATTCCTCACAAAGTTCACGTAGCAGTTTTAGTGTCCATATTTGTAATCAGCGTCCAAGACTCTATCGATGTACCTAGGTCTCCTTTCAAAGTTCCATGGGAATTTCAAAACATTCCCTGGTAGACCAATGAGGCCGCGTTCATGGTTTATGGCTTGTAGGATAGTAGGAGATCGGTTTGTGAGGATATTAGTGATTAGGGATTGCGTTGAAATGATTTGATCCCTATCGATCGATCCGCCTGCAGCTAATCTATTGATCGCCTACTATCTTAATCAATACTGTCTGATTTTTCCAATTGCATATCCTAAAATCCTATCGCCTACAATCCCAACCTCCGCTGTCGTGAACTATCAAGCGGCTTGAGACACACAGTGGTGGTAGCGACAACAGCACCGCCACCCAAGTTCGAATCACTTCTTGACCAAACTATCTCACCAGTTTACCCTTCGGGATTCTATTAGGTTGGAAAGAAAGTTATGCAACACTCATCTGAAA